TTGTTTGCTGCACAAGCTGCAGCAGCGATAAGGTACAAAGTACACCAAAAAAATCAGCTTGCGGGTAACATGCCATCAAAGTTCGTATGGTGGCAGCTGATTCAAGTAAACACCCAGTGTTGCTCGTGTAATGCTTGAGCAATGCACTTCCTATCGGTGCCTGTCCACTCATACAAGTGTATGAGAATAACACATGTACAGAATATAGATTCTCAAGAAACGTACATGGAGTAGAAATTCTGGTGGTCTAATGAGCAGCACATCCATTCGGATATGAAAGAAGTGGTTCAATTCTCTCTCGGTACATAGATCTTTTTGAAAAGGGTCCTGTTCGCGGCAGACTGGTTGCTCACTGATGTGGTAGGATTGTCGATTTCGAGCATGAGGACAATTTTACTTGTCTTGAATTATATATAAAGCTTGAGAAGTGATTCAATGAAATATTTACAGGAACCGGCGATTATTTCTGTAGTGGAAACGATTTATCAAATTTTACGAAAGTTAAAAGCCCAGAAGATTTACCACGCATGGCTTCCGATGCCGGCAAATTGCTGCGTGATTACGTTGATGCATATATCAATCACAAGAAAGCACTGGTTGCACTTGTTAATGGTCCTGCAATAGGCATCGCTGTTACTGTTCTTCCACTCTTTGATTTGGTGGTTGCATCTGATAAGGTAATGAGGAAATTTAAATTAAAAATTCTTACCAACCATCCACGCGACTAGCTTGCTTCTGTAGGGTAAATCAAAAACGAAATGATCTTTTTTTGGAAAATATAGTCTTATCACTGTTCCAAATCCGATACACTAAAAAGCCAGAACGGAGTAGGATCAGCGTGGATGAAGCTGTAAAGGAACGTTTGAGTAAAGCAGTGTGTGTTTCATTCCCTAGCTGTAAACAGGCAGAGTTACGGTGAACGAATGAAAATTAATGAACAATTTCTTTGAACCGTTTATTCAGAATTACAAGTTCAACTGCCTGGTTTGATACTCTCTGAATCGCTGCTCGGGAATAACTAGCTCCAACCGAGGCGTTGCCTATATTTTATAAACTGTGCTGTCCACAAAAGTATGGGAAACAGCCTCGGTTTTTTGAATAACTTGAAGAGGTCCTCCTCTTTAAGAGTAGTCGGTGGGAGTAAAAGTGGGTATCATCACTACATCTTCCACTCGCCCAAAAAGGCTGAACTCAAAAATGCTGTTTTTGTTATTACGA